TGATGCTGGCTAAGGCCAATTACACCTCCACCTGGCACTTTTCCTACAGTAACACACTAACCGCTTCAAGGATCTATCCTACCCACTTCTCTAGTGCTAAATCGGCCACTTTCCCGTGGTGGGCTACAGCACACTGAATAACACTGTAAATTAAATTAAACAACTGAACCAATATACAGGTGCCATATCATGTATTTTTGCATGAATCACAGATGACCTTGTTGGTCTTCCTTCACCATCCTGTAAACCAATTACTACTCACAACAACCACCAGGATGGCAACATATGGCGGAAACACTTAAAGTGCTCATGCTCTATGAGCACCAAGGCATACAACAGTACAACAAATGATTACCCTAAATTATTCATAATTATTCAAGCAGTATTCACAGATTCAAGGTCATGGGCACTGCAGCTATGTACACAAAATGGATACCAAAGTCTTGTCACACAAAAAACGGCCTGAAGCAACAAAACGCAAAAAAAAGAACTTAAATGGTTCATGAGGGATGTAGGTTAGAGACAAACACACTCAACACATGCTAAAAGCAGGCATATGATGCAGATACTATGGGGTCTTACACTAACAAGGATCTCCTAGAACATGGAATGGCATACATTTAAGTTATTTACCCTGCCATTGATGTAACGTATGCTATGTTATAGCATCAACGTAGTAACAATCGAATCTTCACCAAATTACAGTCACGAGACTAACTGTTTTATCTAAATACAACAGATGGACTTCAATGGGTCAAAGATGAATATGGAACAAAGGAGATAATGCAGGACAAACCAATTTACATCCAGGTTGATACAGAACAGCTGGCAACCCTCCCTGTAGAGAACATAAAATGATTTCTTGAATATTGTGGTATGCGCCATCGTAGTCTAATCTAACTTCGCACTCATAGCAAACACACAGATGATGTAAGAAATCAATTTCACAATTTACATCCCGGACTGTCAGCATATTTTTCAAACACATAAACTCAGTTGCTTTACCATTCTAACAGCATTACGATATCTGTATTACAATGCGAGGCAGGAGGGACAGATACAGAAATTTGTGTTTGTCTGAATCACTCTCAAGGCTAGCGCATGCTTCTGCGTATTTACGTACCGTTGTGTTGATGCACTCGTTTCAATTCATGGTTCTAAAAGGCTTGCGTGTGTTGCAAAGCAATTCACCGCCAGAACAACAGGTGGAGTAACGTTTTTTACCTAGAGAGTCACGTCTATTTATTTATTTGTTTATTTATTTATCATAGACTTTATTGCCCCGTGCATCACCACTGATGCTGCTTTTCATCGCGAGGAAAATACGCGACACATTTGTCCCGTATTTTCCTCCACAACTTTGTTCACCCCTCGACCGGCAAACCAACGTTTGCGGCGATCTCCCTCCGTGAATCAGAGGCCATCCGCGCGTCCTTATAGTCTGCCAATGACGGGTTGTCGAAGTGGTCATATTTACGCATTTCTTCCGACAAAAACTCTTCAATCTGATTCATTCTCTCGTAAACAGTCTTTGTTTTTGCGGTATCTATCTTTGCGGTATTGTGCTATGAAAACGGAAATGTGAGACTCCGTCAAGGATGCAGTTAGCAGACTAATCACAGCCTTGTGAGCTGCAGAAGGCTTGCGTAGCTTTTGACGCTAGTCTAGAAAAATGGGTTGACACACGCAAGCACGCAAGGATTTAAGGTGCAAAGTGTGAAAAGGCACGTAAGGGACACGCAAGGGGGTCTTGAGCCTAGAAGCATAAACTACGTTTTAGTCACCACAAAGTGACTTGGTCATCTATAAATTGATCAAACCATGACAGGTTTGGATGGGTTCCAAGTCAATGTAAAATTTACAAATGTTGTGGGCCAGCCATGGTTTGTTCTTCCGGAGGGAAATATAAAACCCCCCGCAAAATTAGCGAATAGAATTTGATTAACAACTTGGTAATTTGATCCATTTGAAATTGATATTAAACATTAAATAAAATAATGCAAGGAAACAACACAGTTTGTGTTATCAAAGGTAGATTATGCAATCTGCATTGTTTAAGTAGGTAAACTGGTGTGTTCACGTCAAATGCGGTGCAAATGATTTGCGCCACACTACATAAAAACCTCTCATAATGCATGTGGGCTCTGAATGCCTGCTGGGTTTTTGGAGACGTAATAGTTCAAAGTCTAATGTTTAATCAGAAACTTGAGAGGATCCACCTGCCTCTTCTCTCTGAATACACACAGTGGTAAACACAGATGCTGCAGTCGAACATTTGAAGTGTTAATCAACTCTAGACTGTAGCTACAATTAAACCTATTGTTTAACAGGATAAACACTTCCTTCTCCAGCGGTCCATGAGCATTTGAATTGGCATCTCTAATTACAAATATCATACGTGCACGTGAGAGTTGTTGCAGTTTATGTTTGTTCACAAAGCAGAGAGATGTGGTACAAAGTAGCGAGTCGGAAGCCGGTATCATTTGTGTTGTGGGAAAGAGAAGCCTCATCTGTGAGTTCAATTTACCCCGACATAATAGCGAGAAATGTTGTCATCTCTTTTGGCTCTTACATTACACTTGTTCTCATCAGAACACGTGGATTTTATCGATTATGAATGATCCAACTGAGAAAGTACACGCAGACGCAAGAGCCCCTTGCGTGTCCCTTGCGTGCCTTTTCACACCTCCTTGCGTGCTTGCGTGTCAACCCATTTTTCTAGACTAGCGTCAAAAGCTACACAAGCCTCCTGCAACCCGCAAGGCTGTGATTAGTCTGCTAACTGCATCCTTTCCGGAGACTCACATTTCCCGTTTCATAGCACAATACCGCCATTATTAAAGCAAAGATTTTTTGCGAGAGAATGAATCAGCTTAAAGAGATTTGATGGAAGAAATCCGTAATTATGACCACTTATACAACCCGTCATTGGCGGACTAAACGTCGGTTTGCCGGTCGAGGGGAACAAAGTTGTGGAGGAAAATACGGGACAAATGTGTCCGCGATCAAAAGCAGCAGTGGCGATGCACGGGGCAATAAAGTCTATGATAAATAAATAAACAAACCAAAGACTTCCAGACACAAAGACATGACTCTCTAGTTCATCTTCGACAAAACATGTTACTCCACCTGTTGTTCTGGCGGTGAATTGCTTTGCAAGCCTTTTAGAACCATGAATTGAAACGAGTCAACACGACGCATACGGAAGCATACGCCAGCATTAACCCAATTCATTACCTCTATATGAAGAATATGAGGATTTTCTCATATTCTAGGTTTATCTATTTCTAATCAAGGTAAATTTAGGAGAAATCGAATAAACAAAGAAGTAAAATAAAGATACATGTCCTTCAGCTATTCTAAAAGAAGATGTTTTCTGGAAGCCAAGGCTCTTTTAGCTACACCAGGATCCTGTTTGTGGACTTCAGCTCTGCCTTCAACACCATCATCTCGTCTCTGCTGCAGGACAAACTCTCTCAGCTGCACGTGCCCGACTCCACCTGCAAGTGGATCACAGACTTCCTGTCTGACAGGAAGCAGCACGTGAAGCTAGGGAAACATGTCTCAGCCTCTCGGACCATCAGCACCGGTTCCCCCCAAGGCTGCGTTCTTTCCCCTCTGCTCTTCTCCCTGCACCTCCAGCCACCAGTCCGTCAAGCTCCTGAAGTTTGTGGATGACACCACCCTCATTGGACTGATCTCTGGTGGGGACGAGTCCGCCTACAGGTGGGAGTCTGACCATCTGGTGTCGTGGTGCAGCCAGAACAACCTGGAGCTCAAAGCTCTAAAAACAGTGGAGATGGTTGTGGATTTCCGGAGGAACAGAGCCCCACCTTCCCCCATCACCGTGTATGACTCCCCCGTCACTATTGTGGATTCCTTCCGTTTCCTGGGCTCCATCATCACGCAGGACCTCAAGTGAGCTCCATCACCAAGAAGGCTCAGCAGAGGTTGTTCTTCCTGAGGCAGCTGAAGAAATTCAACCTGCCAAAGATGATGATGGTCCACTTTTACACGGCCATCCTCGAGTCCATCCTCTGCTCCTCCATCACCGTCTGGTACGCTGCAGCCACAGCCAAGGACAAGGGCAGGCGTGTCATCCGCTCTGCAGAGAGGGTGATCGGCTGCAATCTGCTGTCCCTGCAGGACTTGTTTGCTTCTAGGTCTCTGAAGCGAGCTAAAAACATCGTAGCCGACCCCTCTAACCTGAGGTCCATCAGGACTAAGACCTCCCGCCACACAAACAGTTTCTTTGCGTCGGCAGTCGGGCTCATCAACAGAGTCCGGTCCCCCCACTGACTGACCTCTGACATTCCACCGGTCACTCTCTTTCATACTACACATGTCACTTTAACTGTCATTTTTCACTTGTCACTTTGTCGTCACTCGTCACTTTGTCACTTGTTGCTAGTGCACTTTATTTTTTAATATTTTTTAACTTTTTTAATATTTTAAATTTTTAACTTTAACTTTATTCTCTTATTTTATACTACCCCATAGCCTTATTCTACTAACCCATAGCATTAGCATTTCATTTCATTTTATTACTTGCACTGCTGTCTTGTTGTCTATTGTTACACTGTCTACTCTCACTCACCAACCGCCAAGTCAAATTCCTTGTATTTATGACATATTTTGGCAATAAATGTTGATTCCTGATTCTTTTGCCTGGGGGTTGCCAGTGAGCCATGCACCACAATTTACACAGAGCCAGCCAGCTATGTAAGAAAGCAAAGGGAAGCTCTCATAATAGCACACGAAGTGGGAGAGAATCTTCATTCTCTTCATTTTCTCCACTATGTATATAATAGTTGTTTACTGCTATCAAACCATTCACTTCATTAACACGCATTGTAGCATCTTCAGCCGATCATCTTCTTATCTTCTTATGTCATCTTTTTTTTATCCTAGAACATCATAATTAGCCATAACAATAGTCCACGGCACAAGGGTTCAAAGACACGTTTCTACTTTTAAAATAAATGTTATCTTAGGTACATACTGTGATGGCCCAGCCGACGAGCAGTGCCCCACATGGCGAGAAACGGCCAGGAGAGGGGCACCAAGAGGCATGGTAGTGGAAGGGCGATACTATCCCAGGTGCTATCAATCTCGCAGGCAATCAGGAGCCTGTTTTAAACCTCCCTCCCAGGAGACACAAAGGAGAAGGAAGCAAGCGGAACGCAAGGAGAGGGAGACCCAGGGATATTGCACAGCGAAGGAAACTAACCCTTTGTATTCTCTCTCCTGCACCAGGAGGAATCCGCAGAAGCTCGGACGTCCCTGGCCACCCCGGTGAAGAACTTTTGAGTTATCGTTTTCTCACACTTATTTTGTTGATAATAAACCTTGGTTAAATTCCACCGTAACCCTGCGTGTCGTCCGCCTCTCTTCTCCCCGGAGACCCCGTGGCATACCCCGTGAGGTCGGGCGCCCACATATGGTGGAGGATGCGGGCGTGTCGATTCGTCGCGACCAGTGGATGTACGGAGGTTGAGTAGAGCACATCGATGGAAGGGATTTTGGAAGCCGTTCTGACCTCGCAAGCCAACCTGCAGGCAGCAGTACTAGAGCTGTGTCGAGCAACAGGAAGACCGAAAGAGCGGATGCCAAAAGAGGTGCTGACTAAGCTGACGGCCGATGATGACGTCGAGACCTATATTGCCCTATTTGAACGGGCCGCAACGAGAGAGAAATGGCCAAGAACCGAGTGGGCAAACAACCTTATGCCTTTTTTGACCGGCGAAGCTCAGAAAGCCTGTCGAGACCTTTCGGCGGCAGACGCCGTAGATTACGATAAGGTAAAGACTGTAATCCTAGCTCAATATGGACTTAGTCTCCCCGCCAAGGCACCGCGAGTGCATGACTGGAGCTACGATCCCGCTCTCCCTGTCCGGGCACAGGTGATGGGGCTAGTCCGTCATACCAGGAGCTGGCTGGAAGAAGCAGAAGGGCCGCCCCTAGTGGATAGAGTGGTGATTGACCGGTGTGTACGAAGCCTACCCATTGACACCAAAAGGTATGTCGCCCAGCAGGGGCCTCTCAGTGTGGACACCTTAATAGCCTTGTTAGAAAATCACCGAGTGATGGCTAGTCTGATACGGTCAGAAAACAACAAACCTAACAATCCTAGAGCCAAGGCAGAGAGAGAAATGGTAGGAAAAGCTGTCAGTCTCCCACCACTCCGACCACCCTCTGGAGGGACCGGGCCGGCGACAAGACGACCCCAGTGGCCTCCTTTAACCCTGCGATGTTTTTCTTGTGGCAGAGAGGGCCACCTAGCCAGGGAGTGTCCGGATCGGGATGAACCAATGCCGACAGCCGGATCCACTGATAGCAAAGGCCTCCCCTGCCACCACCTCACCACCTGTTGGGCCCATGAGGGAGCCCCGGCCCCAAAGTTTCCAGTGAAGATCGCTGGGAAAGATACAGAGGCACTCTTAGACTCCGGAAGTATGGTCTCACTCGTCCGACCGCAATTCGCCAGTGCGCCCTGGGGTGACGAGGTGGCGGTGTCATGCATCCATGGGGACACACGCAAATATCCAACCTCCAAAATCAATGTGATCACTCCTGGAGGACGCTTCACTCTGCAGGTGGGGGTCGTCGAGCAGCTACCGGTCCCCGTGCTTTTCGGCCGAGACAGCCCGCTGTTCTCCCGATACTGGCCAGCGGAGGCGAGGAACCCGAGACGGAGAACAAGAAAACAACCGGTGAAGAGAGAAAGACCCGCCGCGGCTCGCCCCGCCTGGGCGGTGGTATCCCCCGATGGCAGCCTCCAGTGAGGACGAGGGGGGGGCTGTCCACAACCAAACCACAGCAACTGACCCCGAACGGGCAGCGGAGGTGCAGCCCCTGGAAGACATACAATCAGACGAGGTATTCTCTCAATTTCCGGAGGTTGAGGGAGAAGGGGAGCCCAGGCCAGGACAATTCGGCTCAGCCCAGCTGCGGGATCCCAACCTGACCCAAGCCTGGAGAGACGTCCAAGTGATTGAGGGTCAAAGGCAGGCTGGGGTGAGTCAAGTGTCATTTCCACATTTCATGATTAAGGATAAGCTGTTATACCGGATAACCAAAAAGAACTCTGAGATACATGAACAGTTGATTGTCCCCAAAAACTATGTCTCTAAAGTTTTGTATCTAGCCCACTCACACTTACTAGGGGCACATTTAGGGAGGGAGAAGACTTATGACCGTGTTCTCGGACGCTTCTACTGGCCGGGAGTCAAGAGGGCCGTGGAGGAGTACTGCCGACATTGTGCCGAATGTCAACTCAACTCCCCAAAGGTGACGTACCGAAACCCTCTCGTACCCCTTCCCATTATTGAGACCCCTTTTAGCAGGATTGGCATGGACATAGTGGGGCCCCTACCAAAGTCTAGCCGTGGACATCGCTACATCTTGGTTATACTAGACTACGCAACTAGATACCCGGAGGCAATTCCTCTACGGTCCGCTACGGGGAAAGTGGTCGCCAGAGAGATGTTCCTACTCTTCAGTAGAGTTGGCCTACCGGAGGAAGTGCTGACCGACCAGGGGTCCTGCTTCATGTCCCAAGTAATGAAACGCCTATGCCAAAGTCTGAAGGTGAAACAAATCAGAACCTCGGTCTATCACCCTCAGACCGATGGACTGGTAGAAAGGTTCAACAAAACTCTAAAGCACATGCTGCGTAAGGTGATCGAGGTCGATGGTAGAAACTGGGACCAACTGCTGCCTTACATTCTGTTCTCTATCCGAGAAGTTCCCCAGGGCTCTACTGGATTCTCACCGTTCGAGCTCCTGTACGGTCGGAGACCCCGCGGGTTGCTAGATGTGGCCAAGGAGGCCTGGGAGCAGCAACCATCCACCCAGCGCAGCATCATAGAGCACGTGGAACAGATGCACCACCGGATGACCCAGGTCTGGCCCTTGGTCCGGGAACACATGCAGCAGGCCCAAGCGCAGCAGGCCAAGGTATACAACCGGGGAGCCCAGGTGAGAGAATTCAAACCGGGAGACAAAGTGATGGTATTACTCCCAACGAATGATTGCTTTGATTGAAGTTTTTAGCCAAGTGGCATGGACCTTGTGAAATACTGGAACGGGTGGGGACTGTGGATTACCGCGTACGGCAGACAGGCCGTAGGAAAGCCAAACAACTGTACCATGTGAATCTCCTGAAGCCATAGCACGAGCCTCTCCCCATTCCCCCTAATGTCCTCGCAGCTAACCTAACCCCTCAGGACCTCCCGCCAGTGAGACTGAGTGACCAGCTGTCCTCCGGACAGGGACAAGACCTCCGAGAACTGCTCGCCAGGAACAGAGACATCTTCTCCGAGGTCCCGGGGCGAACAACAGCCATTACCCATGACATCAGAACAGAGCCAGGCAAGACGGTAAGACTACGACCATACCGAATACCCGAGGCCAGGAGGGAGGCCATCGGAAGCGAGGTGAGGAAAATGCTTGACCTTGGGGTGGTGAAAGAGTCCCACAGCGCCTGGTCCAGTCCTATAGTCCTGGTAGGAAAGCCGGATGGCAGCATTAGGTTCTGCAACGATTATAGGAAGCTAAATGAGATTTCCCTGTTCGACACCTACCCTATGCCCCGGGTAGATGAGCTAGTCGAGAGGCTGGGGCCGGCCTGGTTCATTTCCACACTGGACTTAACCAAAGGGTATTGGCAGGTACCACTCACGCCCCAAGCCAAAGAGAAGACTGCCTTCTCGACACCAGATGGCGCCTTCCAATATAGAGTCCTCCCATTTGGTCTTCATGGGGCCCCGGCAACGTTCCAGAGACTTATGGACAAAGTACTCCGACCACACCAAGCCTACGCAGCGGCATACCTGGACGATATTGTTGTCCATAGCACCTCATGGGAAAAGCATCTGCAGCACCTGGCCGCCGTTTTTCAGGCCTTACGAGAGGCGGGTCTAACAGCCAACCCTGCAAAGTGCTCACTCGCCTTGGAGGAGGCGAATTACCTTGGGTACACCGTTGGACGAGGAAACGTGAAACCCCAAGTGAAGAAGGTGGATGCCATAGCGACCTGGCCCCAACCCCAGACCAAACGTCAGGTGAGGACTTTTCTGGGTCTAGTGGGATACTACAGACAGTTTATTCCTAATTTTGCTTCTTTAGCGGCCCCCCTGCATGAGCTAACAAGCAAAGGCTCATCCAATGGGGTAAAGTGGACCGAACGGACTCAGCTGGCCTTCAATGCCTTGAAGAAAGCCCTATGTGGAGACACCATTCTACACGCCCCCGACTTCGGCAAAAGATTCGTACTGCAGACGGACGCATCAGAGGTAGGCCTTGGGGCAGTCTTGTCCCAAGTACAGAATGGAAACGAATACCCCATAACCTTTGTCAGCCGCAAACTACTTCCCCATGAGAAGAATTACTCAACCGTGGAAAATGAGTGTCTCGCCGTCAAATGGGCAGTCGGAAAACTGAGGTACTACTTGTTGGGTCGAGAGTTCATATTGGTTACGGACCATGCCCCATTGAAATGGATGGCTGTCAACAAAGATAAAAACGCCCGAATAACCCGTTGGTTTCTACATCTGCAGGACTTTAAGTTCACAGTGGAGCACAGAGCTGGCAGACTGCACGGGAACGCGGATGCCTTGTCCAGAAGGGACGACTGCCTGTGGACTGCCGCTCCCCACCGTGGTTCGGAGCTGAGGGGGGGCGTATGTGATGGCCCAGCCGACGAGCAGTGCCCCACATGGCGAGAAACGGCCAGGAGAGGGGCACCAAGAGGCATGGTAGTGGAAGGGCGATACTATCCCAGGTGCTATCAATCTCGCAGGCAATCAGGAGCCTGTTTTAAACCTCCCTCCCAGGAGACACAAAGGAGAAGGAAGCAAGCGGAACGCAAGGAGAGGGAGACCCAGGGATATTGCACAGCGAAGGAAACTAACCCTTTGTATTCTCTCTCCTGCACCAGGAGGAATCCGCAGAAGCTCGGACGTCCCTGGCCACCCCGGTGAAGAACTTTTGAGTTATCGTTTTCTCACACTTATTTTGTTGATAATAAACCTTGGTTAAATTCCACCGTAACCCTGCGTGTCGTCCGCCTCTCTTCTCCCCGGAGACCCCGTGGCATACCCCGTGAGGTCGGGCGCCCACAATACATAGCAGCTGCATTTCTTTTGATGCCTGCAGAATAAAGTGTTCATACAGCTTGTGTTGCATAAAAGAACCCTGTTTGAGAAAATATTTGCCTCTTTTGAGAAAATATTTGCCTCTTTTTACCATATATATCAGATTTGCTTTTGCACTGGCTCCATTCTTTGCATACTTGCTTTTGTTTAGTGCCATAAGTGAGACAGTAATATGTTTCACTTTACCTCGATGTTTCTTTGCAGCAGTTAATTTAGAAAAGGTATCTGTATTGTATCAACGAACTGAAATTTGTATCACACATCAAATAAATCCCGTTGAACCTTCTAGCCCAGTAGAACCGCACACAAAAGGGATGACTGACTTGCAGGGGCGGGTATTGGGTAGAGATAAACTACCACATCTTCCTTTCACTCATCTTATCGATGATCAGAACCACAAAAGATTTTTCGCTGAGAACATGCATGAGTTGACAAAATAATCATGCTTCCTTTGTGAAACTAGATGATTTGCCACATCATAGAACATCTTAAATTTTGAAAGACAGCGTAGCGAGATATTTTGATTTGTCTGTCAGTACAAATATCTCCCAGTCAAAAACAGCTATGGGGGAAATAGTAGGTGGGTAGGAATGTGAAACAGATGGTCCCTTTTTCTACAGTACACGGAGGTATGAGCACAATGTCAGTTTGGGGATGATGTGTTCTGAGGAAAAAGAAAACCGTGTCCCTTTCAGCACCTCGGCGCAGCAGTTTGAAATGCAGATGACAGTGGCATTTTGAAAAATTCTGGTCCGCTGGGAATGCCAGGTGTGAAAGGGAGCTCCATGCTTGGAAACAAGAAACTGTCGCATAATACACTCAAAAAATAATTTGAAACTATTTCTAAAAAGAATCTTCCCTTATGCCTTAACCAGTTTGTGACATTTGTGTGTTCTTGAATGCTGTTTACAAGCTCCTTTTTGATTTTCCCCTTCACATTTTGGAGGTTGGGTGGTGTGGTGTGCTGTGGTGGATAGAACTGTCTCCTCACGGCAGGACGGTTTTGGGTTTGACTCTGCCCAGTGGGCTTTCTGCATGTTCTCTGCATGGGTTCTTTCCGGATACTCCGGCTTCCTCCTACAGTTTAAAGAGATGCTCCGGGGTTTAGGTTAATTGGTGACTCTAAATTGCCCGTGGATGTGAGTGTGAATGGTTGTTTGTCTCTGTAACGACCAATCCAAGGTGTACCCCGTCTCTCGCACAATGTTAGCTGGGATCGAATCCAGCTCCCCTGCAAACCTGTATGGAGGATAAGCGGTTTTGACAATGTATGGATTTTGAAGGTCACTCTCACTTTCACAGCCACAGACAGCACTGCTGATCCTGCCATGATTCTTGCTGTTCTCACCCTGAGTTGTTCCGGATGAAAAACCAATGCAGCGTGTCTGTAATGGATCCAATTTCTCCTTTTGTTTCCATTCTTGCTGATCACATGCACAGCAACTGCAGTAAGTTCTAATATTGGTTTTAGGTTTGTTATCTGGTTTGTCGGTTTAGTGATAAAACACTGTTAATTATTCAGCAGCGCTCTGTATCTATCCTCAAGAGGAAAACACAACGTTTTTCTTGACCAGACTGCTGGGGGAAGAACATTATATCGAAGACATGCTTCTCAGATTAAATAGATACCGGAATGTGCTCCATTCATCAGCCATGTAAATGTAGCAGTAAAGCTGAGCAATATAAACCCACTTAAGTCATCATTTGTGAGAAATTAAGTGTAATCAGCATTGTACATCCCCTCCAGCATGCATTTTGATTTATCACTTGAGGCAACGTGTAAAGCATATTATTGCTTTAGGCTCAAAGTTTTGAATTAACCTGGAAATAAAATCTTTTATTTATATTATTGCTTTAGGCTCAAAGTTTTGAATTAACCTGGAAATAAAATCTTTTATTTCCAGGAAG